GTCTAAACTGATGACCTGTGGGTGATTTTAAAGCATCGTCTATGGACTTTTTGGGGTACTGGATTTGGTTGCAGTTTCACGAGCGTACACAATTCTTTACCTGGGCATGTTGGGTATCTATTTACTCATTGTAGCCTCATCTTTTATATTTTATTTTAAAAATGGGCATTGTATTGTGTTTTTGGGGCATTTAAGTGCATTTTTCACTAAATGTTGGGATTTGATAAGGAGTTACACTAAAAATTTGCAACTGCCACCATTTTATTCTATAGGGTCTTGGCTTTCAGAAAATATATAATGTTTGTGGGTTTTAAGTAATTTTCAGGCCTAAAATGTGAATACGGGATTACAATGCAATCCCGTGCGGCCGATTGCATTGTGGCCGGAGGGCATGGCTACGGTGCCATTCACTTCAATGGCCTGCCACACCCCCTCCTGCCCCACAAAAAAGTGAGCCGGCCGCAATGCGAGGCAGTGCGTTCTGGCTAGAATCGGGCCGGAATGCACTGCATCCTGTGTGAACCAGATGCAGTGCATTCAAAACAAAAGAGACCAAATAGGAGAAGGTTACTGTCAGGATTTACATACCCTTTAAGTTGTATCAATGTAACTCATATCACTCTGTTTAGGCAACAGGCTCAGCAACAGGTACAAGCATGTACAATAAATATGATATGGATAGATTGATCAATAGATGGATAGATTGATCAATAGATGGATAGATAGATAGATAGATAGATAGATAGATAGATAGATAGATAGATAGATAGATAGATAGACCAAATTTGAATCTTAGCACTTTTACTAAGCCACTTAAACTTTATTCCTTTTTTATTCCAAACAGCTATTTGTCTATCCTCCTGATTTGCATAAAATTGAATATTAAGTATGCCTAGAACATTTCCTAAGAGCTATTCCAGTGACTAGACTTTAGATTAAAGCCATTTTGAAAAATTAATGGACATTTGCGGTAATACCTCAAAGAACTTTCAAGTTTGAAGTAAAAAGTAAAAACCACATGAATGGAATTTCTCCTGGCATTAATGGCAACTACGACCATTTTCTATATATAACTAGGCCTCATTCAGCCATTAAAGTGGTATGTGTCAGTAATTTTAGGAGACAAATACATTCAGAAATATCAAAGCATTAGACAGCAAGTAGCAGTAAACTGAAGAATATATATTGTTTCCCGGTGCTTTCAGCACTTCAAAGGAGCTGTTGATTTCTGCTCTACTCAGTGTGCTTGGTGTAGCATTTTACACTGATAAACTCTCTACTTTTCACTCTTAGTATGTATTCTAAGAATTTGGTTTTATAATGCAAGAGCTATTAACTCAGGGATATAATTAATTATAAATTGATCGTGTTGGCGTATATTATTGTTCACTTTGGTGGTAAATAAAACAAATTTAAGAAATGAACTCTGGTATTGGTAAGTCTTCATACAGAATAAAATACACTGCCTAGGCACACAAAAAAAGTCACCACCTGGATTTAGCTAAGCAAATAGGTAAGAACTATAGGGGTGGCTTCAGTTGATCAGGTCTAGGTTCAACAACGTTAAGTGCCCAAACAATTGGATCAAATTCCTACCTGCATATACTGAATAACCAGCTTTTTCCATCAATGGATTTTTTTTCCTGAACATGACCTGCTATTCGAAGTGGGCACAGCTTCTCAGTGCTAAGTGAACATTCTAATCCTTGTGTACCACATAAATAATGAGGACATCTGATTGTGGGTTAATTGGTTATACTTTAGGTATTGTAAAAGAGAAATACAGGAAGTAAAACTGAGTCTTACTTTCCCGCTTAGTCTCATCCTGATTTAGGCCTCATTCACACACAACGCAAGCAAAATTGTATATTGCGTATATAAGCCTCTATGCGCGTATATACGAGCGTATATGCGTGCACTATATGCAATCCCAGAATGCATCACTCGTAATGGAATTTTTAATGTGCTGTACGCGCGTATACGTGCGTAAATACGCAGAAATACGCTGCCCGGACGCATCTGTTCCATTCTGTTTTTGCGCATATATATGCTACGCAAATATACGGCTCCATACGCGGCTGTGTGTATGGAGCCATTTATTTGCATATGGTACAATACGCACGTACACGCGCGTATATGCGTGGCAGTGTAAATGAGATTGCATGATAAATAGAGATTGTATGATCAAAGTAATAATATAGAATGTTAAATAGTTCAGGAGGGTAAAGATAAACAGTGGTGTTGTAGTTTAAATAAAATGTTTAGCTTAAAAGGAAAAAAAAAACGTAATACTTTTGGATTTCAAGATGATGGCACTTCTGCTGGGCATGCACATTGTTAGGGTTCTGATAGTAATGGAGGATGAAAATGGAGGTGGTAGGTAGGTAACATTGTACCTGTTTCTGTTTCCAGCACCACCAGCAGCAGAGAACGTTCACATCTTCCTCCCCTGTGGTCATCACTGCCAAACATGATCCCCCTCTCAGCTGCCACCTGCACTGCTGACATACTTACCACTCCCTGCTGCAGACCACGAGTCATCTTGGCGTCATCTGGAAGTGCACTCTGCTAACACCCCCCTCCAGTTTTCACCAATTTGTCTGCTTTCATCACTCCACCTAAAAGCTGTCCCCTCCCTCAGCTACAACCGTGCCTGCATGCCCCTTGCTTTCATCATTCTGTCTGACCTACATTCCCCTCTTACTGTCACCACCACATCTGCCAACACCTCAATTTCCCTGCTTACAAGACAGTACCTGCCATCCAACCTTGCCGGTTCTGGAATAGACAGACTTTTGCTACTATTCAGTGATTTTCACAGCTTCTCATTTTAAAAACAATATGTTGCTTTTTAGCAGCACCCTCAGATAAATACACAACTGAAATGTATATATAAATACTATATTACCTGGAAGAAGATATGTAAGTAACACACATCCACCCACCACTGATTTGGAATATGGTTGCATAACATTTGGGGGTTAAGCAAACTGTTCAGAGCCTACATTTATCAGCCTGGATGGGACTGCCCCACCTCATGTGTACTTTGTGGAGCATATCATTACACTGGTAACACTCATCCTGAACTATCTCCTACCTGTAGGCCTACCAATGCAGCACCCCTTGCACCCATCAACTTAAAAAGTATTTCCTGACTTATATAAAAGTAAATTAAATAATAAGTTATTTTATTTCTTCTATATATCTGCCTAAAGTTTTTCCTTAACTAGATTGAACATTTATATCATGAGCTAAATTCTTTTTATGCATGTTACATGTTTGATTTTACATAATGTTAACTACAGTAATATGTACAGTAATACAGATATAGTAATATTATTGTGTAGCTCTATTTGTACAAAAAACAATTGGAGTTTTGGGGATAGTAAGGTGTGCAGTAATGTTCAAGGAGAGCATATGGCTTGCTACTGTTGATGCCTTCCAGGCAGTCAGAGAATGATGGCAAGAAGGGAGAACAGAATGATAATGAGGTAAAAAAGATTAGGCCATTGCTTAAAGCATGGAAGGCAGTCATTACGTTGGCAAGAGAACAAAGTGGTGAAGAGACAGAAAAGGGTTTATACTGGCACAGCAAGAGGTAATGAGAGATCAGACAGTGTGGACAGGAAAAAAGATATTTGCAACCAATCCTACTGAGATCTACTCTCCCGTGCCATGGTTTGTTTATGGGACTGACAAACGGCTTATAGCAGCTAAGCTATTCGAGAAAATCTAAAACGTGCATAACAAATGGGCACTACTGTTTGCCTTTAACTGCGCTTTTTTGAGGAAATGACCATCATGTGGTATATTAATAGCAAATTAGATTAGAAGAGACAAAATGTATCTTCACTCAGGCAGGTGTTTAATAATTTATTTGCAGTGGATCAGACACGGACGTAATTAATTAATGTCAACATCGTTTTTCTTTCATTATCTGTTGCAAAATTGATTTTAACTTTTAGAATTTCTTCGTCGAAAAGCCAGCTTCTTTTTTAACTAGTTATGACTTATATATTAGGTTGGTAAACATTTCTGTCAAACTCTGAGAAAGTATTGCATGAAAGGTGAGGAAAATAAAAGTGCGCCCTCGCCTCTAGTACCAGGTGGAGTCTTGTTTCAGTTTTGCATTGGAAAATTGTAAGCTGGAATCTGACTAGTTACTATAGTACATAGGAGTTCTACTAAAGTCGCCAGAAATGTTCATCTGGCTTTGTAAATGAAGTGAAACTGTGAAAGCGTAATCGTGTGGAAGGGAAATGAAAAAAAAAGTTTTGGCTGTAAATCGTCGGATAATTGACACAGCTTCATCTTATTCATTAAACTCATCGGACATTCACTTTGCAAAGTAAGGGTCAGAAGCCCCTCTTATCACCACATGGTGATACCCTATATGACATCATCCTCATCTGGTAATACTGCAGGTAATACTGAATTTAGCCTGGTATGAGACCACCTTAACACTAGAATAAAAATGGGAGGTGCTGACTGCAATATATGAGTTCATTGTAATCAAGAGTATTTGCAAAGTAAGATTGCCGATTGCAAACTCATTAAACACCCAACTTTTTCCATTTGCTCTGTGCTGCTGGGACCCAAAGCAATTGTATGGTGTCCTATGTTAATAGTTGCACCATTATGTAAGAAATGTAGGGTTTGTGTGCTCGGCATTGTTCATGGCAGATCTGCTTTTCTCCAAATACAAGTTAATGAAAATGCAAAAACAGCTTGAAGCAGATTGAAGCAGCTTTGAACAAGATCAAATGCAGTTCAAATGCACCTGTCAATGGACTCTGAATGCTCCTAAGTATTATTAAACTGATCTCAAATGCAGCCTGAATGCTCCTGAAAGCACCCTGCATTTGACGCAAGCCCTTATAGTTACTTGCATATAAAACTATTAAACAGAAGTAAAAATAGCTTCATAGATATTTATATATGGCAGTGGTCCACATAAATGCAAGCATTAATTACTGTAATTATATTTGCTTCATTTGCAGTCATCAAACTCAGACTACATGCTGGGATCACCCCAAAATGGCCGAGCTCTTCCAATCTCTTGGTAAGTGAATCTTAAAAATGTTATATAAAAGTATTTCTAGCTTCTTTTTCTTTTTAACTCTAACCAGACAGCTAATTGCATACATATAATATGTAATTGTGAACCGATTTACCTGGAAAACTACAGTATATGTGGTTCTATTTAGTCTGTCTTGTGATTCAAGTACTCCTGTATTAACAATGATTGGATTATGAATGAGCAGGAGCTCACAAGTTGCAGTGGATTATTGGAAGTTGAAGTGACATTAAAGGCTAATTTCCCCCCCCCCCCATGTTAGTTTAAGGACTTACCTTAAATCCTGCCTCTTAATCCGATCATCTTCTTTAGTGTAGCTTTCAGATGTCCCTCCAGCTCTGGTGCAGGTCTCCGATCCAGCGCTGACTCCTCTGTCCTCTTCTCTGACATCCCACGGAGTCTGTGCAGGTGCACGCTGCTCCATAGACTTACCTTGTGTCTCTCCTGCGCTTGCACCCGCTCCAAGATCCTTTGCGGCTGCCCGAGATTCTTCAGATGTTCGGACGGGAGCGCGCGGCGAAGACACTGGTAAGTTTAAACCTGTTTGAAAAGGGTTTTAAAAAAAAAGTTTTTGCAAATATCTACTGCTTGCTATATGTAGATATATGAAAAAAACACGCTGAGGGCTTAATAACCCTTTAAAGCATACCTTCCATAAAAATGCAAGGTCTGATTACCACGCCCCCCCTCCCCCCATGTAAAAATGTCACCTTAAAAAACAAACAGATTTAGAGGAAAGTAAAAAATATACTTGTTTACATCTTGGCTTCTGGCTATAGCTCCTAGGTTAGAGTAATGTCAGAGGCCTTCCTGAAGATACAGAGAATGCTGAGAGTCACAAATCTCGAGAGAAGATGCCCTTTTGTAGGGTTTGTGTGTCTTCCTGTGAGATCTGAGACCATCAGCCATCCCTGGATCCTGCCAGAAAGGTCGTGATCTCGCCCTTATGTAGGGGCTATGGACAGAAGCCACAAGCATAAGTTAAATATATTTTAAACTTTCCTCCTAATTTGTGTATTTTTTTACATAAGGTTGGTGGTAATCTACAGTACTAAGTGGGCCTTGCATTTTGGTGCAAGGTCCACTTTACTATATGCATAGGTTGCAGATAGTTTTGTTAGTAGTATTTTAAATATGTGAACACTTCATGAATACAAAAATTTACTTTTTATGCTTCTAGACTTTCAAACTAAATGTAAATGTAGGCAGGTCTAAATTTAATTTGAAACATTTATTTGCTGATGTATAATTGCTGGCAGAAATGTATATGCAGTATGTGATTGTCATGCACAGTTATTCATGTTTGATGATTTCTTGCTGGAGAAAATTATAATGGCATATTAATTGATTGCATATAAATTGTTTGAAGTTATATTAGACTTTACATATTTGATTGCTTGTTCTAGAATGTTTTTTCAACAACGTTACTTTATCGTTAATTACACACAACATTTATTTACACACAAGCTCTTACTTGTGTGTGTGTCACATTATGACAAATACCCTTACAGTGTGCACAATTATTTATTGCCTGTAACCTCTACTTGTATGATATTTACAGTTCTTTGTACTGGTTTGTAGAGTCAATTTTGCAAAAAATAAATAATGCTTATATTTAGTTTTACATGAAACTGGCACTTTTAAACTCCCCTCACA